CAGCTCTGGACTCACAGGTCCTCCCATACTGTGGTCATCACTGAACACTCAACACTCAGCATGGATTTGATACTGAGCTGGGTTTCCCTTGTTACTCTCTTCAAAGGTAACTTATACATTAGGAGAGATACTAAGTATTTGGGGAAAAGGAAGTGAGAGGGTTATTGGGCATCTGTGATTGTGTACTGACAGAATTCTCTGTTTGCAGGCATCCAGTGTGAGGCTCAGCTGGTGGAATCAGGGTGGAGGCTTGGTGCAGTCTGTAAAGTCCCCGACACTCTCCTGTGCAGCCTCTGGATTCACCCTGAGTGAGGTCTGCAGTATTGGTGATGATTTTTTGCTCATGAGACTCAGACAAAGACTCAGTGGTATCCGGTTAGGACAGTGCTTGGATTAGGGAAGTCACAGGGGAGGTGAGGCCACACTCTGTGACCCACACACCCTAACAGGTCTCAAGTCTTCTACTTTCCCTGAGAACTGTGCACATCAGACACAGATGTGACCCATTTGTATTTTCCCTGATGCAGTTACTTAACATATAACTTTCATCATGGTGTCTCCTGATATATTTTGTTCATCCAGCTTCTGTCTTTTGTTTAAAACAGACATGAGCCTCTTATAGGAAACTCAGCTGAGCCCTAGGCTGTAATTGTGTGGGACTTAGGGAAGGCTATTTGTGGATTAAAAAAAAAGAAATAAAATTTAAAGGAACATGATTGACCCCAGTTGTTTTTGGAGGAGAAAGTTTATTATACCATTGTGGGAGAGCATAGCCAGAGGTGTGAACATCTGGGGAGTCCAGAGTGGACACTACCCTGAGTCATGTGAGGAGTGAGAGAAGCCAGGAGGGGAGGGATGACAGGGAAAGAAGGTGAAGGATCCAGGATACCCAAAAGAGATGAAAAGGACCAGGTAACTGAAACAGTTGGGTGATACACAGAAGAGCAGCTTGAGATAGGGAAGGCCAGCCCAGGGCTGGAATGCTTAGGGTAGGTGAAAGAATAAGCCAGCCAGGAGGACCCTGTTACAGGTAAGGCTGAGGGAGGCACAGAGAATGTGGTGTCCACTTTCTGGCTTGATAATTTGAATAGGCACCTCTGCCATTTGTCCCTTGTTTGAAACCTAACATCCCATGCATTCATTGTCAATAAACAAATGATTAGGTGAAATTTTCTCTGAGACTACTTCCTGCTGACATGGAGACATCATTGTTGGGTGGTGTAAAGGTTCATGAAACCTGGATAAAGGGAAGTCAGGTATTTATTTCAGATTTACTCATAAATTAAGAAATGAAATAGAGAAACACTGAGGCCTTCTGCCCAGAGCTCTGCAAACTGAGACCTGATCTTCAATCACCACCAAAGACAAGAGCTCCCTTCCAATTCTGCATGCAGCACCTGAGACTCCAAGACGAAGGGGCTGGTTCCTCAAAGGCTATTGGGTGGATGAGTTCCAACAACAGGGTGGAACCAAAGAGGCTGGAATGTTGGCTGTGTCCATGCCTTCCAGGCTCTGAGGAAACTTTTAGGGCTAGAGACGTGTGGGCATCAGTTGGGGCAATTTGTGAGGCAGGACTGCCTGGGATGAGCCAATTTGATCTTGTCCCAGGATGCAGATATTTTGAAGGAACACCTAGAGGTAGTTGTTGGAGCAGTCTACATTTGATTTTAAATATAATGCAACAAACAGACTAGGATGCCAGGAAGTGGTGGCAAAGTTCTTTAATCCCAGCACTCGGGAGGCAGAGAAAGGCAGAGCTGGAGGCTATCCTGGTCTACAAGAGCCAGTTCCAGGATATCCTCCAAAGCCACAGAGAAACCCTGTCTCAAAAAAGTAGACTAGGGAGAAGTGGTAAAATAAGATGTTTAGGGAAATTTTTAACTGGGTGTACATTTGAAACTTTTCGGCCATGGACCTGGTGTTTGATGTGAGGGACCGTACAGAAAGAGAGAGAGAGAGAGAGAGAGAGAGAGAGAGAGAGAGAGAAGGATAGCCCACTCTCAGGCTTAGGGAAAGTAAGCAGGTATTCCTGGCAAACACAGAGAAGCAGAGAGGTCCTGACAGGTTATCTGATGGAGGGGTTGCTTGGTTCATCAGGAACTGGAAGGCACAAAGTGTCTCAGGAGCCAAGGACTCTAACCAGAAAACCTAAGACAGTCAGTAGATCAACTCCATGATTCCATGCAAAATGAGATTGGTCTAGCAATAAAATGATGATTACTTTCCAAAGGTATTAAAAGATTTTAGTTTGCTGAGAGAAAAATTTTCCCACAGGCCTTGGCCCAGGACAAGGAAATAGGCTCCAACCTGAGGGCAGACAAACAATCCTTTTTGGATCACACCTGGCCAACAGACAATCGGGGACTTTTCAGGGTACATTCTGTGGTTTTTCCTTTGTAGAAAAGCAGGTCACACCTGGGTGACCACTCTAACATGAGATCATACTTTGTAATCAAGCACTTTGTGCCCCTTGCCTGCATGTTGATCTGCGGTTTTTTCCTATATAAGGAGCATGCACCTCATGCTGGGGCACGCAGCTTTCCCAGTATTCCTGACACCCGAATGCACATTCGTTCAATAAACTCTCTTGCTTTTACAGCTCTTGGTCTGGTTTCTGAGTCTCGGGGGCTCCTTGGGATCCTGTGGCCCTTAGGGGTCTGGGGTCTTTCAGTATAGCGATTGAGCATGCCATAATTCTCTGTAGTCACTCTGTAGTAGTAGTGGGTAGTGATGAGCTGGATCCAAATGCCAGCAGAGAAGACCCTAGTGTGAGAGGAACATTAGGAATGATAGAGGCTCCACTTACAATCAATCTCTGTCACATCCATTCAGTGCTTCCAGGAAAACAAGAGCCTCTTCTTCCTGAAGCTGAGCTCTGTGAACTCAAGCTACACTGTGAAAGTTGAACTTAAGAGAAGATACGCAATCTGTGAGGTTAAGATATCTTTAATAGATAAAAGCCAGCCAAACGCAAGCCAGAGTGTGCCAGGAGCAGCAAGGCGAGGGAGGCCAAAGAGAGGACCCCATGTGCCTTGTCTCTCCCTTTAAACCCTATCTGACATCACTCTGACATCACCTTGACCATGCCCATGTTGGGCGTGGTGGGGCACACCTGTAGCCAGCTTCTAGTAGGCGTGGCTTACAGTGTCCTCCATAATTCCCCTTTTAGTCTAAAAGAGGATTAAAGCTTAACAGTGCAAAGTATCCAAAATTAACAATAATAAAAATGAAATACAAGAAGATACAACAATCTGCTTATGTCACATCCTAACTATGTCTACATCAGCTAAACCCTAAAGTCATCTGAAAAGAGGTGTCCAAGCCTGAACACCTCCTTCCAATCCCAACCTTAAACAATAGGAAGCTATCCCTAACTAGGTGTTCACTACCCTAATAGACAATAATGGGGTAAGGGGGTAGCATTCTTCAAGTTACTTCCTGCTGAAATGGGACAGCTGCAGCCTAGTGGGGTCCTGTGGGAAGAAAATGTTAGTATAGTGAAAGTCTCTAATGGATTATATCGGGTCCATGTTATGTGGGATTTGCTTGACTGAAGATCTAGGTTGAAATCCTCAACTTGATGGAAGTCAGCCCCCGAAGCTCTGGTTGGAGTGTCAGTTGAAACGGAGTAATTTGGATCCAGTGAAGTCTAGGAGGTGTGGTCCATTTTCTTTCCAGGGTGTCCAGGGATTGCTGTCAGGCAGGTCTTCATTGGCTGTGTGGGACTCAAACATAAGTGTTAGCAGATAAATGTTTGCTTGTACGTGTATGCTTACTAGGAAAGGCAACCGTGGGAAAATGACGATTATGAGAGGGTGCACATCTTGAAAGAACAAGCCAAGACAAGGAACACTCCCCAAATTCATCTCTCATTCTGTATTACATGAATTTGCTTCTTGATACAATACAGAAACTCTAAAGTGTAGCTAAACAATGTGCTTGGATTTTAGAGGAGGAATGCCAAATCCAACTCTAAATCCAGCATTGGTTTACTTTTATAGGGACTAGGAAATAAAGAGAAATAGAGTTCTTTGAGAGACAGCTGTGAAGTTTACCATATGGCACGTTCCTTTTGTTTGATGGTTATAGCTACATTCTCTTCTCAAGACAAGACATACTAACTTTCAGTGGTGCTCAGGACCAGCAGGGGTCACAGTGGAGCCAAAAATCAGCAGGAAAGAAATGAGATGAGGAGACAAGGGGACTCCATAGTCTCTGTGGACTCCTTTTAAAAGTCTGTTACCTGAACAAAACTTATTACAGGTGGTATGTGAAGTCTCCAATATTCAAACATAGTAAAAATTCTTTGTTAAATATTGCACTTTTTGTTTTAATAAGATTTATTAATGTTTAATATTTGGAAAACATTTTTCTATAACATTTTTAGATGACAATTTCATTGCCCATTTCCTCCCTGATCTTTATTACTTCCTTTCCACTCAACAACACAACCTTTGTTTATCTCTATAAAAATCCAACACATAGATAAAAAAGGATGAAACACCACACACACACTCTCTCACACACACAGACAGAGAGACAGACACACACAGGAAACACACAGCTGTAACCAGCTAGATAAACAAATATTGTTTATCCATGGGGGAAGAGTACAAATTCTCCTAATTTAGGAGATTTAAAAATATCAAATCATAATTATTTCCCCCACCTGAAACCAATTTTTTCACCAAGAGGACCAAAAGTCCCAGGTTGGGATTCTATTTGTAAATTGAGAGATTAGGCCTTGATTCACAGGGTCAGCACAGGTCTCAGGAATGGCTGCTTCCTCAGACAGGATGAGGATTTGGACCTCAGCATCCTGCTACCTGAACTAGGTGTCTTCTAACTCCTTCTTCTCCAGCTGGACTCGGTCCTTAAATAAGAAGCACCCTGCTCATGAATATGCAAATGATGTGAGTCTATGTGGTAAATACAGGGAAGTCCACACCACCAACTACACATGATCAGTGTCCTCTCCACAGTCACTGAGCACACAGGTCATCACCATGGGATGGAGCTGGATCATCCTCTTCCTGGTGACAGCAGCTACAGGTGAGGGCTTACCTGTTCCAAACCTGAAAGGAGACAGAGCCTAAAGTGACAATAACATCGAGTCTGACTTTCTCTCTGCAGGTGTCCTCTCCCAGGTTCAGCTGCTGCAATCTGAATCAGAGCTTGGGAGGCCGGGGTCTGCACTGAAGTTGTCTTGCAAGACTTCAGGCTATACCTTCACTACCTTTACTATGAACTGGGTGAAGCAGAGGCCTGGACAGGGCCTGGAGTGGATTGGAAGGATTTATGCTGAAAATGGTCATACAGACTATGCTCAGAAGTTCAGAGGCAAGGCCACGCTGACTGTAGACAAATCCTCCAGCACAGCCTACCTGGAGCTCAGCAGCCTGACATCTGAGGATTTTTCGATGTATTATTGTGCCAGACACAGTGTTGTAACCACATCCTGAGTGTGTCAGAAACCCTGGAGGATTGGGGAGCTGGGCTGCTCTGGAGCTATGATGTCAGAGATCATCCTGGAGACTTGCTTAGGAGATAACTCTGTGAGTGTGACTTTGACTGTTACTTCATCACAGACCTGCAGAGCTTCTGTCAATTTGAAAAAGTGTCTATGAATAAATTGTTGTTGACTTGGGATGCTCCTAGAGTACACCCTATTTTGCCAATCTCCTTGCCAGAGACCACCTCCATTGACCTGTCTTTTCATTAATAAAACAACAAAATGGAAAACTGTGAGGGTGCATCATGACAAAAATGCCTTTGGATTCTGAGGTGGGAACATTTGTTGGAATCACTGAGGATGAAGTAAAATAGAAATTTGACCAGTAAGATCCAAAGCATCAGCATCTATACAAACAAACTCACTTTTGTATCCTAAGAGAGACACACATGAATCTGCCTAGCAAGGGGAAAAAGATACGATCTCCTCAGTAAATTGGGAGATTAAGGGCCAGGGGGGATAGTGGGAGGGAGAGGAAAGGGGGCTGGGGAAAACATAGAGCTCAATAAAACAACTCCTTTCATAGTCTCAATTATTATGTGACCTCTTGATGTGTGTAGGTTTGACTCAGGCCATGTGGTCCAGCAGGAATTCCAGTATCTTAGAATGAAAGACATATTTACACCAGAATGCACTGCCTTGTAAGTATGATTCCTATAAGGTATACAAATGTATTATTAAATTACTTTCCACACGTCTCATTCATAAACTCATTGTTAATTGAGGAAGTTTCTGAGATTATACCTCAGTCTCTGTTCCCACATTTATTGTCTTCCCTGTCCAAGTTCTCAGCTCTACAATATGCAGGCTTTACAGAACATGGACCTACATTGATACAGCATCAACTCTTAACAGTGCATTGGATACCTGCTCTTCATGCTCATGCTGTAGAGTATTACATTTTAAAAACATGTGTAACAAGCAGCATGGAGAACAATTGATATTTGGTAATCTCAAAGTTATGATTTAGTGTCAGAACATTAACTTTGCAAGTTCCAGTAGCAGACATACACTTCCATCAAAAATATGCATGTGTCTTGGTTAATGTGTATGCAATCCTTGGGGAATGCTTTGTGGTAGGCAGAGTCCTCTTGATTAATTCTATGTTAGAGATTATGGAAACTGTGCTGAATCTAACTTACTGCTTGACACAGAAATGGCTGTGTAAAGTATCCTCCTATGTTCCTCCAACTGGGGAGACAGTGTGAGGAGGTTCCCTGTGTGCTCAGGAAGGACCTCAATTTGAGGATGCTCAGGAACAGCAGAGGGCGCTTTAGACCCAACTTTCACCAGAAAAGAAAATGGAGTAGGTGAGAGAAACATCTGGAGAGTGAGAGTGTCCTCGGGGACACTAAGGTTTCCTGTCCTGACCTCAAATAACTGCAGAGACCATGTAATGCACATGATGTAGTTACTGTGACATGACTCCAAATTTAGTACAGCAAAAATTCTTTGTAAACCACATACAAGTTTTACACATTACATATGAACCTTTTTGAGCAGAAAAATCAATTTCATATACATAAAGACTGATGTAAAATTTCAAACATTGACGTATACTCATCAGAACCACCACCACCAGCGGCATCTGTAAATCTATCTGTAATATCCTTATACTATCATGAGGGGTTTTCTCAGCTGAAATATATGACTGTGACCTGGGATCTCAGGCCTTGATGTTCCACCCACTGTGTTGAACCCAGGCAATTCTGGTAGGCAAGTTTAGGCGTCCTGGTCCCAAGGCATTGTCCTCTGCCCTGTGAAGACTTCAGCTCAGAGGAAGGAGAGAAGGAAAAGATGGTCATGATTGCAAAAATGACTTCATTATAGGTATTAATAATTCATTTTTTGGTTTTTCAAGACAGGGTTTCTCTGTGTAACTTTGGAGCCTATCCTGCCTATCCTGGCACTCGCTCTGGAGACTAGGCTGGCCTCGAACTCACAGAATTCCACCTGCCTCGGCTTCCTGAGTGCTGGGATTAAAGGTGTGTGCCACCAACGCCTGGCTAATAATTCATTTTTATGTGAAGGCTTGAGTTAAAATGAAAGACTTTAGGCAAACTTGGAATACTAAACACACACACACACAGACACACACACTTGTCTTGGGAAAAGAGAAGAAAGTAAATTAATTACAGACTGTCTATTTGCACATTTGGCCTCCTGAAAGAGTAAAAGTGATGTTTTCCCAACTTAAAGTTATTACTACCCAATTCATGCATTTACACCACGTTCCCTATAATTTCCTGGGTTTGAGGCCACCTTCATCTCTTCACAGAATGTAGAACCTCAGGCGGGGGAAGTTCCTCTCTTTCCAGTCTTATGTTTAAGGATTAGTTTCCTTCAGTCTGGTGTGAGGTGCCAGGTGTGTGTACAGCTCCCCTCCTTGTGTTCAGATTTACTCCAGACTTTCATTATATGGCTAAGAAACAGATGTCCATTGTTAGACTTTTAGAATTTCAGCTTGCTGGGGAGATTGCTGATGAATTCTCAGGAGATACCCACTTTCTTTCCCTGGATGGATGGCGTTTGCGCCTCATGAGATTAGATCCGCCTCTGGTAGCAGACTTCACCCAGCAACTAAATGCATGTTTTGTGCTGCACTAATCTGTGGTGTCTCGAATCCCATGAGTCACATCATCAACATATAACATGCTCTCCTCACAGGAATCACACAACAGAACCGCCATTCGCAATCCAAGTGCTGCTCCTCAAATGTGCTGCCTTCGGTTCTCTGTGACCAACTATCACATTAACTGGGCCTAAAAGCACCCAAAGAAGGATGACAATATGTTGATATTTTACAATCAATTGTTGGAGTCACAGGTGCTTTGACAACAAGCAGGGCTCCTACTCAGGTGACATTGGGGAGAGGGTAGTGGGATCCCCAGCTCAGAATGTAAGAGGATTAATTCTATCAGCAGCAGCCCTGGGGTGGGTGCTCATTAGACTGCTTTCAGAAATTGGATTGTGTGTTTCATGCCTCCCAACCTACAGAAATAATTTGTAAAGAATGGTGCCCAAACTCCCAAATATTGTTTATAAACGTTTGTTTTCATTTAAATGGGGTTTGGTTACAAATGGTTAAGGATCACAAACATTCACTTTCTCTAAAATGGGGAAATACGATATTACTTTGTATTGGTATGGATTTTCGTTTGTTGAACCAAATTTAAGATTAATTTTGATATATGTATATTTCTCCTCTTGTTTCGGTAATTTAAGTACAGATTATTGATAGTTACCTATATTAGTCAAAACTTATAGTTAGGTTAGCTAGGTTTTCTAGATATATAGAGATATATTTCAAATGGATAGGCAATTTTCAAACCTTTCAAAGACCTACAGAATATGGCATTTAAAATAGTTTAGGATTTTTCAGGATATTGAGACAGAACTGCTCCTGGCAACAGCAAAGAGTCAGTAAGGAAGTTGGGCATCAAAGAAACTCGTTATGGAATTTCTTTCAATATGGTGAGACTAGCCTTTTGGGCAAGAAACTGCTCTTGTCTTGACTGTTTGTTTGTGTGCTGTGTAAAGTGGGCATCCAGGACCCACAGGAAAGTGACTGCTGAAACAAGATGGAACTTTGCTGCAGAATTCCTGCTTCATGGAAGAGTCTACCAGACGTTCTGAAGGACACAGAGAAAAATGCTTGACACACTGCCAGTATAGGAGGACAGTTTACAATTTCCTGCTTCACTGGGAAGTCTGTCAGACACACTGTGGCCTATGAGGAGAAAATGGATGTCACAAAATTACAGTGGAAATTTGGGTGGCTGTCCAGGTAATGAGATGTCTTTGTCAATTCTAGAGTTTATATACTATTTTCTATTGTCTTTGATGGAGTTGAAGACAGATAGCTATGGTCATAGTTTTCCTTAGTTATGATAAAAGTTGAGTTGCATGTTAGTCTTTAGACTCACAAAGATAGAATAGATGATAGAACACTTTTTGAAAGTCAGCGCATTTGTCTAGCTGCCTATCCTCTTATCAGATATCTAAACTCTTCTTTGTTATTTGTCTGGTTCACTATTTTTATTGTAATAATTTTTAATTTTTATATTAATATAGGGACACCATTCCCTCCAAACCCTCCATGGAACTTCTGGCAATTTTTAATATTTATGATATTTATTACATGGATTATGTACAAGGAGAGCACAGATTTCATAGTTTTAAATGCAAATGCACCTTATTTCCAATCGCTTCATCAATACTGGTAGACACTGACATGGGAGTGCAGAGGACCATAAGAGTCCAAGAACAGCACATATTTAGAAGCCATGTGAGGCACACATTTAGAGCACACATTTATGTGAGAAATGCAAAGGTCTCAGGGTGCAGGCGGCTGTCTCATTGGAAAGGTTAAAGTTACTGACTCTCAATAGGACAGAAACGTGATGAATAGAAGGCAAAGGCCGCTGCGGCCCTGTTGAATGGAATCAAGTGAGACTGTGAGATGCCCAGGTGGAGCTGTCCCTGTGCAGACCCAGCATAAACAGAAGCATTGGGGGATGACACAGCCTGTGTGAAAACATAAACACCAGATGCTGGAAGACATGGTGTTACCCACCTGGAGTATTAGAGCCTTGTATATTAGATTTGCATTCAATTTTTTTTTAGGTCCTGGTAATATTAAAATGTGCTCTATGCAAAACCTTTAGAGTAGAAGTCTGAGGCTCATCTCCCTCACCCTGCAAGGGAGTGCCTGATTAGTCTCAAAAAACTACAGATCCCCAAACTCATACAGCATGGAGTGGGTGTGGAGGCTCCTTTTTCTACTGGCAGCTGCCCAAAGTAAGACATCAGAGCCCACAGCCACAGTGTAAACTGAGGCAGTTCCATGACTTCTCACTTCCCCTTGTTCTCTCCACAGGTGTCCAAACACAGATCCAGCTGGTGCAGTCAGGAGCTGAGGTGAAGCAACCTGGGCAGTCAGTGAAGATCTCCTGCAAGGCTTCAGGGTACACCTTCACAGAACAAGGAATGCAATGGCTGAAGCAGGCACCAGGACAGGACATAAAGTGGATGGGCTGGATCAATACCAACACTGGAAAGACAACATATGCTGATGACTTCACTGGACAGATTCTTTTCTCTTTGGACACCTCTGTAAGCACTGCATATCTTCAGATCAACAGCCTCAAGAATGAAGACACAGCCATATATTACTGTACGAGATACACAGTATGAAAAACCACATCCTGAAGGTGTCAGAAAAGCTCAAGGAAGTGGTTCTTCTGTGCCCAGACAGCAACATAGGAAATATCTGCCTTCCTCCATGACTAGGATTATTATATTAGTGATTAGACACACAGGAAATTGATGTCTGTTCTTCAGATGAATATTCACAGTTCTGTGTTGACAATCCAGCCACACGAATAGGAGAGCCAACACTGGATAGCATCATTAACGTGGTATACAACCCACACTTAGCCAGGCATTGGTGGTGCTCACCTTTAATCCCAGCACTCCTAGGCAGAGGCAGGCAGATCGTTCTGAGGTTGAAGCCAGCCTCCTCTACAGAGATTGCCAGGACAGGTTCCAAAACTCACAGTTAAATCCTGTCTTGAAAAACCAAAATCAAAACAAAACAAAAACAAAAACCTACTGTTGTCATAACATATCTTATATAAATGCAGTAAACTTTTAACAAACAATTCTGAAACCATGTTTTGAAACAGTAACCTCAGCCTCTATCATGCTGTCATAGAGAAGAACACTCCTCGGGTGAGCTACATGCTTACAAACGAGAGTGCAAAGAAGGAGAAGACAGCTCTGCTGGGAAGTGCTGACCTTCAGAGCAGCCACTGTTGACGACAAACATCCACAGACACCTGTGCTTGTATTAGGTCTGCTTAGGAGCCTCTCAAAGAATGTGTGTATTCCAAGATAAAACACACACTTATCTCAAGAACTGAATATTTACACCTGCTCAAATGTATGGTACAATGTTAAAACACACAATCACAAAAGTATTGTATTTTCAAAAATCATCACTGAAAAAATAATAAAAAGGAAATTTCCAGTACAAGATTAAAATGTAAAAAGAAAATCTTTAGGGAGAAATAACTAAATTTGAGTCTTGAATCTGGATTTCAGCTCTGGTAGATTAGATATGGGTGTTATGATCCCAGTTGTCAGTTCCAGGCCAAGGGCTTCTTTCATCTTCACTGAACATTTCCAGTCACAATCCTAAATTAGTATTCCTTTCTTTCTAGCTTTCTGGTTCAGGTGACTTTATTATACTACATAGATTTATCTGCATTGTTGTAAATTGTGTTTATCTTATAGTTCATAATGTGCATGTTATAAATACAATAATTGTCTCCAGAGAAGCCTGCTAGTAATGTCATCAGTTATAAAACCAAGACTTGTAAATTCTCTGTTATTTCAATCTTTTATGTGTTGTTTAATTTTTCTATAGAAATTGTGAAACAGAAATATCCAGTCCATCAAAATCCCAACACAATTCTTCACTGACCTTGAAAGAACAATTCTCAACTCTATATGGAGAAACAAATGACACAGGATAGCTAAAACAACCCTGACAATGGAGGAACTTCTGGAGGCATCACCATCCCTAACTTTAAGCTCTATTACAGAGCTATAATCCTGAAAACAGCTTGGTATTGGCACAAAAATAGACAGGTAGCCCAATGGAATAGAGTTGAAAACTCTGATTTTAATGCACACACCTATGAACACCTGATTTTTGACAAACAATCCAAATATATACACTGGAACAAAGAGAATATCTTCAACAAATGGTGCTGGCATAACTGGATGCATACATGTAAAAGACTAATGATAGACCCAAACCTTTTGCCCTGCACAAAACTTAAGTCAAAATGGATCAAAGACCTCAACATAAACCCAGCCACACTGAACCTACTAGAAGATAAAGTGGGAAATACCCTTGACTTAATCGGTACAGGAGACTGCTTCCTGAACATAACACCAGTAGCACAGACACTGAGATCAACAATTAATAAGTGGTATCTCCTAAAACTGAGAACCTTCTGTAAGGCAAAGGACATAGTCAGCAAGACAAAATGACAACCCACTGACTGGGAAAAGATCTTCACCAACCCCACATCTGACAGAGGGCTGATCTCCAAAATAGACAAAGAACTCAAGAAGCTATTCACCAAAGCACCAAATAATCCAATTAAAAAATGGGGCACAGAACTAAATAGACAATTCTCAATAGAGGAATCTAAAATGGCTGAAAGACACATAAGAAAGTGTTCAACACCCTTAGCCATCAGGGAAATGCAAATCAAAACAACTCTGAGAT